CAATCCCTTCTCCTCCATTCTCCTCTCAGGATCTTGGGCACGCACGCACATGCGCCTGGCGTGAGTTTAAGCCACCGGGTCCAGGATGCAAACCACCGTTGACTACGTGGGAGTCCAGCGACATAGCCATTACATTAACTGCTGGTCCCAGGATAAGGCTTCTTTTGAGTAGCACATTACCACGGAGCTGGACTGGCTGTATTCTTTTTTAAGAAATTTTTTGCTTTAGGGTGTGTGTACTCACTGGAAAGACAGAGACAGAAAGTGAGAAATCACCCCAGGGGGATGGTCATGCTGCAATTCCTTTTCCTCCATTCTCCTCTCAGGATTTTGGGCATGCATGTACACGCACTTGTTGTGAGTTTCAAGTCGCCAGGTCTGGGACTTGAATCATGATTGTTGGCTGTATTCTTCTTATTTTATTTTATTTTTTTGAGAGATTTTTGTTATAGGGTGTGTATGCTTGCCAGAGAGACAGAGAGAGACAGAAAGCGAGAAATCCTCCCCCCGGGGCGGGGGGGAATGACCATGCTGCAATCCCTTCTTCTCCATTCTCCTCTCAAGACTTTGGGCACGCGTGCACTTGCACCCAGCGTGACTTTTAAGGTGCCTGACCCAGGACTCGAACCGCAGTCTACTACATGGGAGTTCAGTGACACAAACATTACCCCATCTGCTGGTCCCATTGGCTGTATACTTAAGGCCCTGAAAACAAATCTGAATCAGTCTGATACCAGTCTTTTCACCCATCCTCCTTCTGCTGTTCTTACATGATCTTTCTTTCAGTATTTATTGAATGGACTTTTTGTTTGTTTGTCTTAATCTTAAATTAAATAAAAATAATATTGGACTTAGAATTGTCCTCACCATTGGGGAACCAGCAGTTAGCGTAATGGCTATGTCGCTGGATTCCCACGTAGTTGACCGTGGTTCGCGTCCCGGACCCGGTGACTTGAAACTCACGTTGGGTGCGTGTGCGTACGTGCCCAAGATTCCGAGAGGAGAATGGAGGAGAAGGGATTGCGGCGTGACCATCCCCCCTGGGGGGTGATTTCTCGCTTTCTGTTTCTATGTCTCTCTCTGTCTGTCTGGCAAGTGAACGCGCCCTATAGCAAAAATCTCTCCCCCCCCCAAAAAAAAAGAAAGAAAGAAAAAAAAGAATTGTCCTCACCATGCCAAGGATGTCAGAATAGATGTGAATGAGAATTGTAACTACACTATCATTTACTGAGTACCTCTTTATACGAGGCATGATTGAGTACGAATTCTAATTTAATAAATTTACTGCTTTTCCCCCCATTTCACAACTGAGCTCTTCAAGGCTCAAAGAGTTTAAGAATTGTGCCTATAGTTCTATAGCAATGTCATGGCAAGGCTAAAACTTAGGTCTTCTAACTGTGCACTACGTCAGCTAGTCCTGGGGTTTGTCCACTTCCCAGCACTTTGGTCAATGAACAAAGCACCAGCTCTGGGAAGTGACTGGGGCAAGAATAGAGAGGAACAGCACAAGGTTGTGAGTGTGGAGTATTGCCACGGCGAGGGAAGGGGGAGCCCGGAGCTCAGAAAGCAGTCACTTAGAGTAGTGGGACTGTGGATGGAGACTGAGGCAGGTGTGGCCACGAGTGGACAGGCATGCTGGAGCCTGTTTCATTTAAGTACAAAACCATTAGCTCCAGGACCTCACCCTAGATGCCATTGCTGGACGATCTAAATGTTTCCCTTCACACGTAGGTAAAAGGGATACAGTGCAGTGTTTTTCCTGTGGTGGATGTTTAGGAAATTGGGAAGAAGGAGATGATCCATGGAAGGAACATGCCAAGTGGTTCCCCAGGTAAGTAGATTACTATTTTCTGCTAAAAATTTTCAGTATTTTTAAAGCAAAACAAAATGAATGATGAAAGAACCACCTTCTTGATGTGTCATCTTCAGTTTTGAACTTTCCCTAACCCAAACTGGACCACTCCAGAAATTATTCAAGCAGGAAAGGACTGATTACACATTGAAAAGTTTGAATTACTCTCTATAATTTTAAACAGTTTTTAAATGTCGTTTTATATCCTGGATGCTAAGATATATTTGCAAAGTAGAAATTTCATGATATGCCTTAATTAATAAATAGAAATAATTTGTGGGCTAGCTAGTGGCATCATAGTTAAGTGGTTGGATCCTACATAGCCAACTATGGTTTGAGTCCTGGACCCAGCGGCTTAAAAAACACAGCAGGCATATGTGTGTAGACTGAGGCAGGTGTGGCCACGAGTGGACAGGCATGCTGGAGCCTGTTTCATTTAAGTACAAAACCATTAGCTCCAGGACCTCACCCTAGATGCCATTGCTGGACGATCTAAATGTTTCCCTTCACACGTAGGTAAAAGGGATACAGTGCAGTGTTTTTCCTGTGGTGGATGTTTAGGAAATTGGGAAGAAGGAGATGATCCATGGAAGGAACATGCCAAGTGGTTCCCCAGGTAAGTAGATTACTATTTTCTGCTAAAAATTTTCAGTATTTTTAAAGCAAAACAAAATGAATGATGAAAGAACCACCTTCTTGATGTGTCATCTTCAGTTTTGAACTTTCCCTAACCCAAACTGGACCACTCCAGAAATTATTCAAGCAGGAAAGGACTGATTACACATTGAAAAGTTTGAATTACTCTCTATAATTTTAAACAGTTTTTAAATGTCGTTTTATATCCTGGATGCTAAGATATATTTGCAAAGTAGAAATTTCATGATATGCCTTAATTAATAAATAGAAATAATTTGTGGGCTAGCTAGTGGCATCATAGTTAAGTGGTTGGATCCTACATAGCCAACTATGGTTTGAGTCCTGGACCCAGCGGCTTAAAAAACACAGCAGGCATATGTGTGTGCATGCCCAAAATCCCCAGAGGGGAATGGAGTAGAAGGGACTGTGGCATGACAATGCTCCCTGGAGATGCTTTCTCATTCTTCCTCTGTCTTTTTCTCTCTAAAGAGCACACATTTGCCCAATAGCAAATTTTAAAAATAAGGAATAATTTGGCTAGAGATGTTGTAAAATGGTGTATAAAGGATGTTGAAAAGTATATAATGATGTTTTAAACATTATTACAAATGGTTTCATGTACTACACAATATATACCAAATGAAAATGTTTTATTTCAAAAAAGCTCAGAAATGTTTTCTTTTAATTAATGCAGTAGTCCTTAGTTCTCTGCTTAGAAAAGGAAATGCATTTTCATTATTTTTAAAAATTATTATTATTATTATTTTTAGAGAAATTTTTGCTATAGGGCATGAGTGCTCACCAGAGAGAGAGAGAGAGAAAGTGAGAAATCCCTCCCCAGAGGGGATGGCCATGCCGCAGTCCCTTCTCCTCTATTCTCCTCTTGGAATTTTGGGCACGTACACACATGTGCCTGGTGTAGGTTTTAAGCCACTGGGTCTGGAACTCAAACTGTGGTCGACCATGTAGGAGTCCAGCGCCTTAACCACTGCACCACCTGCTGGCCCCACATTTTCATTATTTTTAATGCTACAGTTACTAGTATGTTCTACATGACTTTGTTTCTATCAAATGCAGACTCACTCCTTTAATGAATTTGTAAACTTTCACTGTGGAAAACTTCATAAAGAAGTAAAGAGAATAATATGATAGGCAGTTTCAACACAGAAAATCCTGTTTCATTCATCTCCTACCCATGTTTCATCCTGGAAATAATAGTAGCTTCATTATTTAATTTTTTTTAAGAGAGTTTTTTGCTATAGGGCATGTGCACTCGTGGAAGACACAGAGAGAGACAGAGAGACAGAAAGTGAGAAATCACCTCCCAGAGGGAATGGCCATGCCACAATCCCTTCTCTATTCTCTGGATTTTGGACACGCATGCGTATGTGCCTGGAGTGAGTTTCAAGCTGCCAGGTCCAGGGATCGAACCATGGTCAACTGTGGGAAGCTGCACACCAGCGAGTCTGCCGAGGTTTCTCAGAGAGCAAACAATTACCATGATTGGTTCCCTTCCAAAAACCTGACCTTCGAAACCTTGCTCTGATTGGCCACTAGAATCCCTCAAATTTGCATATCCGGCACCTCATGATTGGTCCAAAAGCAACCAATCATAACCCACCGTTAACAACCAATCAGGGCCCACCGTTTACAACCAATCACGACCCACCGTTTACAACCCACCAGAGTGTATATAACCACGATGCCTGGCCCACAGTAGCCAGACGACACAGACGACCGAGAAGATGACAACGACCAAGATGACGACGACGACGACGACGACGACCAGGAAGACGACAACCGAAGAGCCTGAAGAGCTGAAACACCGCGCAGTTTCCAGACGACCCTGAAGATCCTGAAGAGCTGACACTGCATCGTCTCCAGACAACTTGGGCGACCCTGAAGAGTTTAACACTACATCGTCTCCGGACGACCCTGAAGAGTTGTAACACCGTGCTGTCTCCGTGCTGCTCACAGTAGACGACGCGACACTGCGTCGTCTCTGTGCTGTACCGTGCTGCCCACAATAAACGGTGTCGTCTCCGTGCTGTAACACTACGCCGCTTGTCCCGGCTCTCACTCCTTCACTCAGGAAACCTGTTCGGCTGTCCCCCCGGGTCGGGACAGTCAACTATGTGGGAATCCAGTGCCTTAACCACTATGCCACATTATAGTCCCTATAACCACATTATAGTAAAGCAATTTCTAGATATCACATAATGTTATTTGTTAATATTTTGGCATGTAACTCTAGTTCTAAAAATGTCTTTTTTTTAGAGAGAGATTTTGCTATGGGTGTGTGTACTAGCTGAAGAGACAAAGAGACAGAAAGTGAGAAATCACCTCCCATGGGGGACGGCCATGCCGCAATCTCTTTTCCTCCATTCTCCTCTCAGGATCTTGGGCACACAGGCACGTGTGCCTGGTATGAGTTTTAAGTTTCCAGGTCCAGGACTTGAATCACAGTCGATTACGTGAGAATCCATCAATGTAACCATTATGCCATCTGCTGGTCCCTCTAAGAATGTCTTTTAAGAAACAAAATCAGAGTCCAGCAAGTGACAATGGTGGTTGGAGCACTGGGCTTCCACATGGCTGATTATGGTTTGAGTCCTGGACTGGCAGTTTGCTTTCACACTTTCCCTCTCTCTCTCTGTCTCTCTCTCTCTGCGCCTCTCTCTGGTCAAATTAAGTAATAATAATAATGATAAATTAAATTAAATTAAATTAAAAAGTATTTAAAAAAATCAATGGAGACAGCAGGTGTGGTGGTTAAGGCACTGGAATCCCACATGGCTGACTGTGGTTCAAGTCCTGTACCTGACAGCTTGCTTTCTCACTTTCCTCTCTGTCTCTCTTGTTTCTCTCTGGTCAAAATAAAAAGTAATAATAATAGGAACTAGCAAATGGCGTAGCAGTTACGTCGCCAAACTCCTATGAAGTTGACCATGGTTCAAGTGCTAGACTCAAGGGCTTAAAACTCACGCTGGGTGTGTGCGCGTGTGTGCGTGCCTAAAATCCCAAGAGGAGAATGGAGAAGGGATTGTGATGTGGCCATCCCCCACTGGGGGATGATTTCTTGCTGCCCATCTGTCTCTCTGGCAAGCACACATGCCCTATAGCAAAAATCTCTCTCTAAAAAAAAGCTGGTCCCCTGCTTGCCATTTTGACCCCCATTTGTTTGTCATTACAAGCTCATGGCTGGCCAATAAATTTCAGGGCTGAATTTATAAGACTCTCTGAGCCAGTTTGTGACCTGGTGGTTAAGGTAGCTGGATTCCACATAGCCAGCTGCATGGTTTAAACCCCAGACCAGGTAGCTTGAAAAACATCCCAAACGTGTGTGTGTGTGCACCCACATGCTCAAAATGCCAAAAAAGAGGAAGAAATGGAGGAGAAGGGATTGTGGTGTGAACATGCTCCATGGACTGTGCTTTCTTTCTTTTTCCCTCTCTCTCTCTCTCTCTCTCTCTTTTTCTGTCTCTGGGGAGCACACATGCCCTCTGGCAAACTAAATAATAATAATAATAATAATAATAATAAAAATAAAAGACTCCCCAAGTTTGTGGGGCATTTCTTTTGTTTCTTAAGCTTCAATTACACTTTCATTTTAATTTTTTAAAATTAATTAATTCATTTTTAATTGCCAGAAGGTGTGTGTGCCAGAGAGAGAATAAAATATCTCTAAATGGGACATGTAACAACTGCAGTAATTTTTCCTGTAATTGTTCATCCTGTTAGGATTTGGGGCATGTGCACACATGTACCTGGCATGTTTTTCAAGCTGCTAGGGGCAGGATTGGCCCTGGTTGGTTGTGGTTGCCATGGTTGGCCATGTGAGATCTGCTCCCAATGCACACTGTGCTTAATCACAGTGCTATGGGACAGGCGAGGACTTCAGCTTTTTGTTATTGTTGTTGTTGTTGTTTAATTTTGCCAGAGGACACGTGTGCTTAATGGATAGAAAGTGAGAAAGCATCTCCCATGAGGAATGGTCACACCACAATCCCTCCTCCTCCATTTCTCCCTTTTTTTGGTCAGGATTTTGGGAATGCACTCAGAAGCACCTAGCATGTTTCTCAAACTGCTGAGTCTGGGACTCAACCATGAAGTCAGTCATGTGGATCTAGCTGCCTTAACCACCACCCTGGTCTGATCCCCAGGACTTCAGCTTTATAGACTAGCTTCGTTGCTTCTTTATAAGCTATTGACAAAAAATCTGAGTATACTTTTACATTTTAAAAAGTGTAGTACCTAATAAACATAAGCTGATTTTATTATAATATTTTTTAAAGTATATTTTCAAAAAGTAATATTTTCACCAAGTATAGTGGCACATGACTGTAATTGCAATTATGGGTAAGGCTGAGGCAGGAGGATTATATGTTTGAGGCCAGTCTGGACAACATAGTAAGACTCTGTCTCTAAAAATAATGTAATATTTTTAAAGCAAGTTCATTTGGGGGCCAGACGGTAGCATAGTGTTAAGGCACTGGATTCCCACATGGCCAACCATAGTTCAAGTCCCGGATAGGGAGGTTTGACAATCACACTGGATACATCTGTTTACATACCCAGAATCTCAACAAGAAAATGGAGGAAAGTGGGTTATGGTATGGTCATACCTCCTGGCTGGTGATTTCTCACTGCCCCTTTCTCTGTTTTTTTCATGAGCACGTGTGCCCTATGGCAAAAATCCTAAAAAAAAAAAAAAAAAGAAGAAAGAAAGAAAAAGAAAAAAGAAAGCTCATTTTGCTATATTTTTAAAAGTGCTGAATGCCTCCTCCATCCATATTAATCATGAGGACAGGACACCACCCATGCATTCTGTGCTACACATGTGTGTGCAGACTTAGGGCAATACCTGCAAAGATTTGTACACCTGACCACAAGGGACCCTGGCCAGCCTGGAGAGAATGTGAGTCACCCGATGCAGTCCAGGTTCTCGTGTGAATACTAGAGAACAGTGGCAAGATTAGACCTCTTCCTGTTTGTCCATCCTTTACTACAGCACCATTAGAAAGAAAAGTCACATTAGAATTAGAGGGCATTTTTAAAGTTAACTTAAAAATTGCTTCTCTTTTATGAAAAGGAATGTGGTTTTTTTTGGTTTTATGTTTTTGTGAGTATTTTTTTTTTTCTTTTTGAGAGAGAGAAAGGAAAGAGATAAAATAGGTTTGTTGTTATCTTGTAATTGCCAGAGGGAACATGCACTCACCAGCAACAAAGAGAGAGGGAGAAAGAGAAAGAGAAAGAGAAAGAGAAAGAGAAAGGGAGAAAGCACCTCACAGTGGGGCTAGTCACACCACAATCCCTTTTCCTTTTCTCCATCTTGTCAGGATTTGGGGCATGCATACACATATGCCTGGAGTGTTTTTCAAGTTGTGAGGGTCAGGATTTTAACTTCAGTTGACTATGTGGGATCTAGCTCCTTTAAACACTAGACCATGGGGCCAGTTCTGGAGTGTATGTGTGTTTTAAGGTTTTTGGATAGGGCCTATGTTCTTGCTGGAGAGAGACAGAGAGAAGGAAAGTGAGAAAGCAACCCCTAGGAATGACAGCCATGCTACAATCCCTTTTCCTCCATTTTCCTTTTGGGATTTTGGGCATGCATGCACACGCACCTAGCATGACTTGAACTGCGATTGGCCATGTGGGAGTCCAGTGCCTTAACCAGTATGTCATCTGTTGGCCCCTATAATTTAATTTTTGCCAGAGGGCATGTGCACTTGTCTGAGAGAAAAGGAGGGAAAATGAGAAAGCACCTCTCATGGGGCATAGCCCTGCCGCAATCCCTTCTCTTCTGTTTCTCCCTCTAAGGACAGAAAAAGAGAGGGAAAGTGAGAAATCATCCCCCAGGGGAATGGCTATCTTGCAAGCTTCTCCTCCATTTTCTTCTCAAGATGTTGGGCACACACACACACACACACACACGTTCAATGTATTTTTTCAAGTTTCTAGATTCAGTACTTGAATCGTGCAGTTGGCTATGTGGGATCCAGCTGGTTAACCACCATGCCACCTGCTGGCCCCAACTTTTAGTAGCTTTCATATGACCATAGGAACTAAATATAGTCAATAGACCTTAATTAAAAAAAAAAAAAAATGAATATACCAGGGCCAGCAGGTGGTGTAGTGGTTAAGGCATTGGAATCTCCTATGGCCTACTGTAGTTTGAATACTGGATCTGGTAGCTTGCTTTCTCACTTTCCCTTTCTCTGGTCAAATTAAATTAATAATAATACTAATAATATTGGGGCTGGCAAGTGGCATGGAGGCGCTGGCCTTCCACATGGCTGACCATGGTTCAAGTCTCGGACCTGGTGGCTTGCTTTCTCACTTCCTCTATCTCTCTCTGTGTCTCACTGATCAAACTGGAAAATAATAATGATAATAATAATGAATAAAGTTAAAATAATTCTTAAAAAATAATATTAAATTAAATTAAATAATTCTTTTTAAAACATGAATATTCTATCCTACATATACTGTAAACCAAAGTCTCTGTACTGTGTATTTATTTCAAGAGAAAAAATAGTCTGAAAATTTAAATAAATATACATTTTGTCACTAATATAAATAAAGAATATGAGAACAATAATAATTCTCATAAATTAAGTTTTGGGGTAAATTTTTTTTCCAGTTTTATTGCAGTATAATAAAATTGAGCAATTCCATCCATTTTTTTGTTTAATTTGCTGGAGGGCATGTGCACTTCCCTGATGGAGAGAGATATAGAGAGGGTAGGGAGAAAGTACTCCCCATTGGAGTGCTGCAATCCCTTTTCCTCCATTTCTCCCTCCTTTTGGAATTTTGACTACACATGCACATGAGCCTGGTGTATTTTTCTTTTTTCTTTTTTTTTTTTTTGAGAGGTTTTCGCTATAGGGCGCATGCGCTTGCCAGACAGACAGAGACAGAGAGACAGAAAGTGAGAAATCACCCCCCCAGGGGGGATGGCCACGCCACAATCCCTTCTCCTCCATTCTCCTCTCGGGATCTTGGGCACGCACGCACACGTGCCCGGCGTGAGTTTTAAGCCACCGGGTCCGGGACGCGAACCGCGGTCGACTACGTGGGAGTCCAGCGACATAGCCATTACACCAACTGCTGGTTCCCGAGCCTGGTGTATTTTTCAAAGCCCCAGGGCTGGGACTCAAATCATGTGGTTGGCCATGTGGGATTTAGCTCTTTTACCCACCAGGGCTGGCAGTCCTTTTTGTTTTGGTTTGGGGGATTTTTTTTTTTTTAAGGTTTATTTATTTCTTGAGAAACAGAGGCAGACAGGCATCCTTAATAGAAGTTTAACCCCCTATTATGTGACCCATCCCTGTTCTAGTCAGCCAAGATCATGAACTCATGCAAGTGGAGTACACAAGGAGACCTTGGTATGTGAACCTGGGACCTTCTCATGTAGCGTCAACATCACAGAGCATTTTATTATTGCTGAGCCAGCACAACTAGCTCCTTAATACTTTTTTTTTTTTTTGAGAGGTTTTTGCTATAGGGTGCATGCACTTGCCAGAGAGACAGAGAGACAGGAAGCGAGAAATCATCCCCCAGGGGGGATGGCCACGCCGCAATCCCTTCTCCTTCCTCCTCCTTCCTTCTCCTCTTGGAATCTTGGGCACACACGCACATTCACCCGGCTTGAGTTTAAGCCACCGGGTCTGGGACTCGAACTGCAGACAGCTACATGGGAGTTCAGCAGCATAGCCATTATGCTAACTGCTGGTCCCGCTCCTTAATACTTTTAAGAAATGTTAATTTCAGGGGCCAGCAGATGATGTAATGGTTACATCACTGGACTCAACACATAGTCAACTGTAATTCGAGTCCTGGACCCAGCGGTTTAAAACTCACACTGGATTTTGTGCCCAAAATCCCAAGAGGAGAATGGAGGAGAATGAATTGTACCATGGCCATACTCCCAGGGGGTGATTTCTCACTCTCTGTCTCTCTGTCTCTCTCTGTTTCTCTGGCAAGCACATTCACTCTATAGCAAAAATCTCTCTAGAAAAAAGAAAAAGAGAGAAACATTTATTACAGTAAAGAACATATCTATCTCAGTATTGAAGTAAATTTTAATCATATTCATTAATTACAGGTGTGAATTTCTTCAAAGTAAAAAATCTTCAGAAGAAATTGCCCAGTATGTTCAAAGTTACAAAGGATTTGTTGATGTAACGGTAATTTATAACAATTTTTTTTCTCAAGTTGACTTTTGATTACTTAATATCTTAACTAGCAATGGGGAGACATTCGCTTTATGTTATGGGTTCTATTTCTTTTTCTTCCCTTCTCCTTACATTCCCCCACTACTCACCTACTCACCTCTTGCTAAATTAGAATCCTTAGAATTTTGTCTTCCAGTGCTGGCTTTTGACTGGTTGTTCTCTTCGAGGTCATTTCCCCTAATTTAGCTCTGCTGCCCCCATCTAAATGCCTCATTAAGATCTGCTGCCTTAGATGCTATCACCAAGCCCTCCTCCCAACTGGTTATTTATTTTCCGTCAGTAAGAATTTCCTAATCCTAAGTAACCGGAAACCCAACCCAAATTGGTTTAAGCAGAAAAAGAGAATTTATTGCTTAACATGACTCCAAAGACTAGATCTGGGTAGAAAATGCGGCTTGAAAATTGGGGGAGGGAAGGTGTTTACTTAGGAAGAAATCCAGGTGCAATTATTCCAGAAAGACCAGTTGCTCAATACAAAATACCCTTTTGAATTTAGTTTCCTTCCTGTGTCTTTTACTTTCTCATTAGTAAAAATACATTTATGATAACCAATTGTAGTTCCATTTTTGAGATGGATCTCTAGAAGTAACCCTGAGGTTTCTTGCTAAGTATAGGTAAACACTCTCAAGTTTTGTTTGTTTTGCATAAGAACAATTCCAAAATTAATAGAAATCAAACTTAGAAGAATTATTCTCCAACACACCAACAGTCTTGTCATTCTACCCAATGAAATTCTTCATTTTGGCAGTGAGAGGGATTGTTTATAAACCAAACAATTAATAGTTTGAATTTTAATTTTACTCAGGGAGAACATTTTGTGAATTCCTGGGTGAAGACAGAATTACCAGTGGCATCAGGTAAAAACTCAGACATATTCCAAAGGCTTTACTTGTTTATTTCTTCTTTTGCTTTTTTTGCCCTAATCTTTTTTTTTTCTTTTTAACCTTTCTAATTTTCTCCTCAATTTACAGTACCATAACTCTTTTTTAAAGATTTTTTTTTTTACCTTAGGGCATGTATGCTCACCAGAGAAGGAGAGAGAGAGACAGAGATAATGAAAGCGAAAGTGAGAAACCACCCCCGCCCCTTACACACACCTTGGGTGATGGCCACACCACAATAACTTCTCCATTCTCCTACTTGGATCTTGGGCATGCACCCACATGCATCCAGCATGATTTTCAAGCCACTGGATCCAGAACTCAAACTGTGATCTGTCATGTGAGAGTCCAATGATGTAACTGCTATGCCATCTGCTGGCCCCCACCATAGCCCTCCTTAAAAATAAATTTTCTGGGGCTGGCAGGTGGACTGGTAGTTGGGGACACTGGACTCCCACATGGCCAACTATGGTTCAAGTCCTGGACCTGGCAGCTTGCTTTCTTACTTTCCCTCGTTCTCTTTCACATTCTGAACCTCTCTGGTCAAAAATAAATTAATTAATTAAATTAAATGACAAATCTGTTAAAAAATAATAATAATTTTCCTGAACCAGCCCATGGCATGGTGGTTGAGGTGGCTAGATCACACATGGCCAATGACATAGTTCTAGTCTTGGACTCAGCAGCTTAAGAAACTCGGTGGGTGCATATGTGTACACGCCCAAATCTCAAAAGGAAAAGAAGAGAAGGGATTGTTATGTGACTATTCCTCATAGTGGTAGGTGGTTTCTCACTTCTTTTCTCACTTTTTCTCTCCCCAAGGAGTACAAATATCCCTTGGCAAATTAAAATAATAATAATAATAATAATAATTTTCATTAAAAATTCTTTGTCTTGGACCAACAGATGGTGTAATGGTTACTTCGTTGGACTCCTATGTAGTTGACCGCGGTTTGAGTCCTTAACGGGTGGCTTAAAACTCACTCCAGGTGTATGTGCATGAGTGTCCAAAATCCCAAGAGGAGAGTAGTGGAGAAGGGATTGCAGCATGGTCATCTCCCCTGGGGAGTGATTTCTCACTTTCTGCCTCTTTAGCTCTCTCTGTCTGTGGCAAGTACACGCACCCTATAGCAAAAAATGTCTCTTTTAGAAAAAATAATTATCATAATAAATAAATAAAAAGAAAAAAAATTCTTTTTTTTTTTTTATGCAGTGTTTTATGTTTTTAGCATGGGCAAGTATAGGGTAATATAGTAGGTTGGTTCCTTAACTGATGGTTTCTTTAAAGCAACTAAATTTTTTTAAAAAACAAGTAAAATCTCTGGATAAAATGCTTTCAAAAAAAATTCTTAAATAGCTTACTGTGTTGTTAAGTTAAGGAATATTCAGATTAAAAATGAAGTGACAAAAAGATTCTTGGGATTAAGTGGAACATTGAAGCGAGCTTTCATCCTAAGGTAATTCACAGAACCGAGTTAAGTTTTGTCTTCAAGTCTCCATGGCCTGCAGAAGACAGGAATCAAAGTCCAGGGTGGCTTTAAACTTAAAACCTAAGGTGGAAAGTCAGATGGAAACTACCAGAGTGCACATCCTAAAGAGCTATAGGTATACTGCCTATTCTTTAAAAAAAAAAAAAATAGTTTGCTTGAGGGCACATGTGTGAGAGAGAGAGAGAGAAAGAGAGAGGGAAATCACTCCCCTTTAGGTCAGGGCCACATTGCAATCCCTTCTCCTCCCTTGTCCTCCTGGGATTTAGGGCACATATACACACACGCACCTGGCATGTTTTCCAAGCTACAGGGTCCAGGACTTGAACCATGCAGTTGGCCATGTAAGATCCAGTGCCTTAAACCCCAGGCCACCTGCTGACCCCCACACTGCCTATTCTTAAGGGAACCAAAAGGAATATTGCCTTTCTCAAATTTTGACATTAGCTTTGGAAAGAGGGAAATCTCCTCTAGCTTTTTCTTGTTTTATTTTCATGCTAGATAATGAAGAGATCATTTAAAATGTTTTCTATTATAGGAAGTGTAAAAACATATACAGAACTAAGACAGTGGTGTATACTCTCTAAATATCCACCACTCTGCTTCAACAATTCTTTCTTTCTTTATTTATTTTTAGAGAAATTTTTGCTATAGGGTGCATGTTCTCCAGAGAGACAGAAAGACAGAAAATAAGAAATCATCCCCCAGGAGAGCTGGTCACACTGCAATTCCTTCTCTTCCATTCTCCTCTCAGGATCTTGGTCATGCACACACATGTGCCTGACATGAGTTTCAAGCCGCCAAGTCTGGGACTTGAACTGTGGTTGACTAGTGGGAGTCCAGTGACATAACCATTATGCCATCTGCTGGTCCCTGCTTCAACAATTCTTTTTTTTTTTTTTGAGAGGTTTTTGTTACAGGGTGCATGTGCTCGCCAGAAAGATAGAGAGATACAGAGAGACAGAAAGCGAGAACCGCCCCCCCCCCCACCCCGAGGATGACCATGTCACAATCCCTTCTCCTCTGTTCTCCTCTTGGGATCTTCGGCATGCACGCACAGGCGTCTGGTGTGATTTTAAGCCTCCAGGTCCAGGACTTGATCCGTGGTCGACTACATGGGAATCCAGTGACACAGCCATTATGCTAACAGCTGGTCCCCCTGCTTTAACAATTCTAACACATGGTCTATCTTGATTTCTGTTCCCCTTCCTTCTTTTCTAAGCCCACTCCCATAAATTATTTATTTATTTATTTTTAAAGAAAGATTTTTGTTATAGGGCATGTGCTCTTGTTGGAGAGACAGAGATAGCGAGAAATCACCCCTGGGGACAGGAGGATGGCCATGCCACAATCTCTTCTCCTCTCAGAATTTTGGGCACGCATGTACACGTGCCCAGTGTGAATTTTAAGCCACCGGGTCTGGCACTCAGCTGTGGTCAACTACATGGGAGTCCTGCACTGTAACCATGCTGACATCTACTGGCTCCCAATTATTTTGAAGCAGACTCCATACATCACATTATTCCATGGGTAAATATGAAGGGATCATTGAACACTGATATTGAGATGTTCAAGTATGCTGATCTTACCCTGTGTCTTTTATTCTAGCTGATTGCTATGACAGCATCTTTGCTAATGAAGATCTACGTCTGGGATCTTTTAAGAACTGGCCCCACGAATCACTTGTGGGACCTGCAGCTTTGGCCAAAGCAGGTCTTTTCTATACAGGTGAGTCAGTAGTTTTTGCCTACTTGCTTGCTTGAGCTTGTAAATCCCCACATAGACTTTATGGTCCTGGGCTGGCATTTCCCAAGACTCAACCATCTCTGCTCTTTTCATCATCCATATAGATCCCTTTTCTTTCCTGTATCATAAATACGTTCCAATTTTCCATACCTTCCTTAGTTGGTAAAGCTCCGAACTTGAAACCTGAGGGTCTGGACTATCACTGCCTGCCAGTGTTCCATTTGGAATAATCATCCTGTCCTTACTCTCCCTACTCCTGTGTCTCCCAGAAGGGTTTATGGAAACTGCCACAGGACACTTCTGCTTATATTCCTTTAGCCAGAACTTATTCAGCTGGTCATATCTAGCTAGAGGTGCTGGGAAACCTAATCTTTTTCCTGGGTAGCAATGTACCTCGCTAAAATTTGGATTTGTATTACTATGGAAGAATAGAAGATACTGGGATGTGGATAACCATTTTTGTCATATTCTGCTTGAAGAAAATCTCGTGATTTATTTTTATGATTCCCATGTATGTAGAGTCTTTCATTAGTTCACAGTAGTCTCTCTTTAACTGCCAGCCATCAGGAAGCTCTACTCTCTAATCCACAAAGGGTGGGCTGGTTCCCCCTAGCCACATCTCTGCCCAAGGTACAACAGGGTAGACAGGGACAGGTCATCATGCTCTCCTAGAATGAACACACACACGAGTTTCTATACGGGTTCCTGAAGATCTTTAACTGAGAGGTCAGTAGACATCACAAATATCACAGAACAGTGCAGAGTAGGAGAATATAGTCACTTTATCTAACACACATATTCCATTGGTCAAAAAAAAAATTTTTTTTTGAGAGGTTTTCGCTATAGGGCACGTTTACTCGCCAGACAGACAGAGAGAGACATAGAGACAGAAAGCGAGAAATCACCCCCCCAGGGGGGGATGGCCATGCCGCAATCCCTTCTCCTCCATTCTCCTCTCGGGATCTTGGGCACGCACGCGTGCCCGGCGTGAGTTTAAGCCACCGGGTCCAGGACTCGAACCGTGGTCGACTACGTGGGAGTCCAGCGACATAGCCATTAGGCTAACTGCTGGTTCCAAGAAAAAGATGAGATTTGACCCTACTTTCAGCAGAATAAACCGGACAATAATGTGGTAAGAGGCAACTGGACAATAATGTGGTAAGGGGTTGGCAGGTGAAATGGTGGTTCAGGGTGCTGGACTCCCACATGACCCACCACAGTTTGAGTCCCAGACCTAGTGGCTTGCTTTCTCACTTTCCCTCTCCCACTCCCTCTTGCTCTCATTCTCGCACTGTCCCTCCCTGGTCAAATTAAAATAAATAAATAAATAAACAAGCAAATAAATAAAGTTAAGTAAAATGATTCTTTAAAAAACATGAACTCACACTGAATTCACATAAGAATTGCTAGATTTGCTCATGTCTTTTCCCCTGAGCATCACACATATTCTTTTAAATTTATTTGTTAAAACAAATACTTGTAGCTTAAAACTCATGCCAGGCACATATGTGTGCATGCCCAAAATCCTGAGAAGAGAATGGAGGGTTGCAGCATGGCTATCCCTCCTCAGGTGTAATTTCTCACTTTCTGTCTCTGTCTCTCTCTGTCTCTCTGGCAAGTGCACACAGCCTGTAGCAAAAATCCCTCTAAAAAACAAACAAAAAACCCCAAATACTTGGGCCAGTAAGTGATGTGGTGGTTAGGGTGCCAGACTCCCACATGACCAGCCGCAGTTCAAGTTCTGTACCTACTAATTGAATAGTATACTTAATAACTGCTAGATACTCTTCTAGGTTCATCGGATTTGTGAGTAAAACAAACAAAAATCTCTTTCTTCATGGAGCTTTAATTCTGGTTCTAATTGCAAATCATTCTGTTGATGAAGAAGAAGGGGCAGAAGGAGGGCTTTCATCGAAGTGCATGGTGGGGCCTGTGAGGGGGTGCAGTGATGCCGAGTTGTGACTTGACTTGAGTCACTGCCGATGCAGTGACTTGAGCAATGCTGGGTCCCTGTGAGAGACTGTAGGTTTTGTTCCCTGTTCAATGTGTACATGCCTGGCCTGGGAGCCCATGGCTTTGGTTAGCTGGAAGGAGGGAGGAGTTGATGGTGGTATGAGACCTTATTGAGGGTACTTGTTTTTCTCTCACTCTTCATCTCTCACTCTCATGAAAGAAAGAAATAAACCTAAAAAAAAAAAGTGCATGGTGCATAGGCATATTCAGTTACTGCTTATTACCCTATTGGTGGAGGAAGAGTACTATAGAATATTGCCTCACTGATAATCCAACTTGTGATTTTGTCACGGAATCAAATTGATCCAAAGGAGGTTTCACTAATAAAAGTCTGGTGTTTACTGTCTGTTTATTAACTGACAAATGCACATGCCAGTGGCATTGATCAGATTTCCTTATTTCTAGGCGTAAAGGACATTGTCCAGTGTTTCTCCTGTAGCGGACGTTTGGAGAACTGGAAGGAAGGTGATGACCCCTTAGAAGATCACACCAAGTTTTTTCCCAAGTGAGTGGAATGTCAATAACTGCAGGTAGAAATTTCATGTTTTTTTTCTTTTAGGTGTTCAAGCAGATATCATACCTGAATTTAGAGGGTATTTATGTCCCAGTTTCATGATGCCTAGCAAATAGTTTTTAGAAGTATGTTTCTGGCCTTTCTTTAGTTTTGATATTGCTGGAGATTTTTAAAATTAATCTTTTATTTGGGAATAGCTTGTATTTACAGGAAAAGTACACAGATAATACAGAGTTCCTATATATTACCTTACGTAGCTCCCCCCAATTTTAATGTCTACATTACCATGGGGCATTTGTCAAAATTAAGAATTGGTGCTGGGCATAGTGGCCCATGCCTGTAGTCCCAGCTACCATGGAGGCTGAGGCAGGAGGATCGCTTGAGTCCAGGAGTGCTAGGCTGTAGTGTGCTATGCCAATCGGGTGTCCACACTAAGTTCAGCATTAATGTGATCTCATGGGAGCAGGGAATCACCAGATTGTCTAAGGAAGAGTGAACTGGCCCAGGTCGGAAATTGAGCAGGTCAAAATTAAGAATTGGTGGGTCAACTGGTGACATGGTGGATAAGGCAGCTGGATCCCACATGACCAACTGCACAGTTTGAATCCTAGACATAGTGGCTTGGAAAACATGTTGGGTGCATGTGTGTGCATGCACAAACCTGAGAGGAGAATGGAGAAGAAATTGTAGCATGGACATCCCCCTGAGGTGGGGTGCTTTGTCATTTTTTCTTTCTCTCTCTCTCTAGTGAGGATATGCACTCTACAGGTAATTTTTTAAAAAATTAGAACATTGCTACATTACTATTTTTTTTAAGAGAAATTTTTGCTATAGGGCACATACACTTGTTGGAGTGACAGAGACAGAAAGTGAGAAATCACCCCTCAGGGGAGGATGGTCATGTCGCAATCCCTTCTCCTTCATTCTTCTTTTGGGATCTTGGGCACACACTCACATGCACTTGGTATGAGTTTTAAGCCACTGGGTCTGGGAATCGAACAACGATTGACTATGTGGGAGTCCAGCAATGTAACTATTTTGCCATTTGCTGATACAACTTTTTTTCTTTTTAAGAGAGATTTTTGCTATAGGGTACATGTGCTCTCCAGAGAGACAGGGAGACAGAAAGGGAGAAATCGCCTCCCAGGGGTGATAGCCACACAGCAATCCCTTCTCCTCTATTCTCCTCTTGGGATTTTGGGCATACATTTATACACGCCCAGTGTGTTTTAAGCCACCAAGCCTGGGACTTGAACTGCAGTCAACTACGTGAGAGTCCAGCAATGTAACCATTACACCATCTGCTGGTCCTGCTACATTACTATTAACTCTAGATTTCATTTTGATTTCACCAGTTTTTCCACTGATGTCCTTTTTTGTTTGTTTCAGAATCAATAGATGGTTTTCCTATTTTTATTCTTTTTTTTTTTAATTTCTCTCTTTTTTTTTTCTGTTTTTTTGTTTTGTTTTGTTTTGTTTTGTTTTGAGAGATTTTCACTGTAGGGCGCGTGCGCTCGCCAGACAGACAGAGAGAGACATAGAGACAGAAAGCGAGAAATCACCCCCCAGGGGGGATGGTCATGCCGCAATCCCTTCTCCTCCATTCTCCTCTCGGGATCTTGGGCACGCACGCACACGCGCCCGGCGTGAGTTTTAAGCCACCGGGTCCGGGACACGAACCGCGGTCAACTACGTGGGAATCCAGCGACATAGCCATTACGCTAACTGCTGGTTCCCCCTATTTTTATTCTTTAAGTTCACTCTAGTTGGTGTCAGGGATGAGCATTAAATATACACTCATTCAGGGTACTCATTTGTGCCCCAAATTCTTTTTTTTTTTTGGACAGGTTTTTTTTTTTTTTGTTATGGGGTGTGTGCGCTCGCCAGACAGAGAGAGAGAGAGACAGAGAGACAGAAAGCAAGAAATCACCCCCCAGGAGGGTTGGCCACCCTGCAATCCCTTCTCTTCCATTCTCCTCTCGGGATCTTGGGAATGCACGCACATGTGCCCAGCGTGAGTTTTAAGCCACCAGGTCCAGGAAGCGAACTGCGGTTGACTATGTGGCAGTCCAGCGACATAGCCATTATGCTAACTGCTGGTCCCTGTGCCCCAAATTCTGAGAGGAGAATGAAGGAGAAGGGATTGTGGCATGGCCATTACCCATGAGGATAATTTCTCGCTTTCTGTCTCTCTGTCTCTTTGGCAGGCACCTATCCCTATAGCAAAAATGCTCTCTCTAAAAAACAAAACAAGACAAAACACTAACATTTCCTATTTCCTATGATTCTGTCAGTGTCATCATCAAACAAGACATTTAGACTGTGGCTCTCAGCAATAGAAATGTAAATGGTTTATAAAGTAATAGTGACAATATCTGGAAAATTTGGTGGACTGAGTGTATATTTATTTATTTATTTTAATTTTGTTTATTTAATTATTAATATTTTTAGTTTGACCAGAGAGAGACACACAGAGAGAGGGAAAGTGAGAAAGCAAGCCATCAGGTCTAGGATTTGAACCACAGTCGGCCATGTGGAAGTCCAACACCTTAACCACCCTGCCACCTTCACAGCCTGGCATGAGCTTTAAGCCACTGGGTCCAAAATTCAAACTGGGGTCAACTATGTGGGAGTCCAGCAATATAACCATTATGCCATTTACTGGTCTCCTGGAAATGTTAGTTTTATACTTAATTCTTGCTTTAGAAATTGTAACAGTATTTTTAAAAACCTAATGCAAATGCTTAATTGCATACAAGTTTTTTGGTAACTTTTAACTTTTGTGCTTAGTTGTCAATTTCTCCAAAATATGAAGTCCTCTGCAGAAGTAATTCCAGACTTTCAGAGCCATGGTGAACTTGCTGAATTAACGGTAATGAACTCCACTGCCTTGTCTGTTTTAGCAGTATATGGTCGTGTAATTGAGAACTGTTTGGACAGGAATTTTTTTTATCATGAATAAGTGAACAGATAAGTTCTATATCTATCTACTAAAACCCTATCATGTGCTAAGTGCAGTGGGAATACTGCAATAAACCATGAAGACACAATATCTAGCTTCAAGAGACATCTACTCAGTTCCTCCTACTTTGGGGCCCATATTCTTTTAGATTCAAGAGTTGATTAGTCTCCAGGCTAAATAGATCCAATCTGTAATCTTTATTTGGAGGACAGTTAAGACCTGACTTGCTACTGGAATGTTTTTAGGACTGAGAAGATATATTTCTTTAATGAAACCAAAAGCCCACCAAAATTATAAATTCATGTTATAGGCTTGCCCCTTTAAACCAAAAAATCCTACATAGTTCTCTAGGATATATGATATCTGGAAAATATCTGACATCTGGTCACTATCAGTTTAATACAGACACATACATACATGTACATCAGCTTATTTTGAGGCTGTGTAATGAGAATGTTATATTGGGTTGTCAGAAAAGTTACGGCACATTTTTTGCATAGAAAACCAGAAAAATAAGCCCTGATTTTTCGGATGACCCAATATTTGTCATACTCCAAAAAGCAAATAACTTGTCATTCATTTGATTTATCTTTTAAAAATTATTTATTTAATTTTATTTATTTATTAATTTATTTTAAATTTGACCAGAGAAAGACACACACACACACACACACACACACACACACACACACAGAGGGGAAGTGAAAAAGCAAGCCACCAGGTCTGGGACTCAAACTGTGGTCGACCATGTGGGAGTGTCCAGCATGTTAACCACCACACCACCTGCTGTTCCCCTTGATTTATCTTTTATAGTTGTGAATTGAAAAAGTTAAAAAGTTGAGGGATATATATATATACACACATATATATTTGTGTGTGTGTGTGTGTGTGTCTTTTTCTTTAAAGAAAGAAACCTAAGATTTCTATATCCCAGTTGTGTAATATTAAAAAGCTAGTTAACTAATGACAAAGGCTGCACCTATTATTTTTGGAGTATCCTTCTTGCTCCAGATACCATTATTCTGATTGCTCGCATAGCACCTGGAATGTGTTGTGTATGTACTATCTGGGAACATACACTCTTGTGGATATTTAGTTTACTTATTGTTGGAAAACAGCTCCCTTCAATCAGCATCAGTATTGAGGGTGGGCTCTGTTTGGAAGATGTTTGATCCCCAATTATAACATGGTGCCTGGGGTCAGTAAATGGCGTGGTATTTGAGGCGTTGGACTCCCACATGGCCCAGACCTGGTGGCTTGAAAACCATGCCGGGCACATGTGTTTGCGCACACATACACACACACATGCAGGCCCAAAATCTCGAAAGGAGAGTGGAGTAGAAGGATTGCAGTGTGGCCATCCCATGATGGGGGATGATTTCTCATTTTCCCTCTATCTCTCTTTTTCTGGTGAGTACATGCGCCCTATTGCAAAAACAAAAACAAAGACAAAAAGATAACATGATGCCCTACTTTTTTATGATTTACAAATTATTTTATTTTTCAAAGGAAACTACCAGTGAAAACAATCTTGAAGATTCAGTAGCAGTTAGTTCTGTAATGCCAGGTAAGGACTTTGAAGCAGTGCATGAGATTGTATCTATGGGTATATTATTTTGTATGTACAACATTTGAAATTTGTAGTTGTCCAAAGTGTTCCTGAAGAGGAGTGGAGCATTGAAATGGAGAGTGTGGTATGTGAGAGAGTCAAGTTCTTGTGAGACCTCCAGAGTGAATGCAGCTCCAACTGTTAGTAGTCAATGCTTCTGAGATGCATACAGACCAGTGTATAAAGACACTGTTCTCAAGTTTCCTTCTTGAGTTTCTTTTTTTTTTTTTTATGATCAGTTATTTAATTAGGTTCTTGGCAGAAAACTTAGAACGCCAATTTGTGAGGATAAACTCCATTTGTAAGGGCAAACATGGATTGGGGATAGCCCTGGAATTGAGAAACAGCTTTGATGTTTGGTAGAATTTGCAAGTCCACAGCTTTCTGATCAACCTTGCACTGCTCTGAAATCTCGTATTTCTCCCTCTCTGTGTCTAAGATCTCACCTTCCTGGTTTCTGGGCTTCCATAGTTTCTTTTCTTCAAGTAAGCATTGATAAGGTGCTTTGGGAGTTTTACTTTGCTAATATCAATTTTTGTGGAGGGGCCAATGACAAATTTCTGGTGTGTTCTTCACAGTGGAACTCGATTGAGACCGGTGGTCCAGTTACAAGTAGCAAGCCACTGCTCAGCTGCTTCAGGAAAACCACTCTCTTGCCTCTGTGGCATCCCGTAAGGATGATCAGAATGGTCCCAGGAGTGATGCTAGCTTGCAGCTTTTTCACAGCTTACTGAAGGGGTTTTTGCCTTGGCTCAACAGCTTTCAAGACACATCTTCAGTAGGATAATACCTAGGCATTTTGCACAGTATAACCACTCAGGTACCACCATTCTTGTCTCCACCAACTGGTTTTGTGACAGTCACAAAAACCTTCTCCTTTTTCTTTTCAATCCTGGATTTAGTGTCCAAGTATTTCCTCTTATACATGGCCTTCCTGGAATACATGGCATACTGGGAGTATCTGCCGATGCCACAGACTAGGACTGGGTTTCGACTGCGATGGGGTTTCCCCTTCTTGGGCTTTTTAGCCTTGGGGTCACCCTTTTTAACCTTGCCACTGGTGTCAGCCTTCTGGGCTTCAGGTTTCTTCTTAGTATCCTGCTTCACAGTTTGTTCACCTGCCATCTTGTATAGTGGGAGAGACTTTCCTGAGATTTTTAAGAGAGAAATTATAGGCTCTCATAGCACTCCTAGATTTTGTCTAGGTCCCCATGTCATGTGGGATACTTGGAGCACATGCTCCCAGCATTGTGATCTTTTGGAAAGAGCTATGAGAGGATCCCAACCTGGGAATGAGAGATAGCTGTGGAAGGTTCTAGTACATTCACAGAAGACAGGCAGAATCATATAGTGAAAATAGCTTGATGTTAGGATTGAGAGAGATGTGGCTGTGAATCACAGCTGTGCCCCTTTCTTCTCTTCACAGAAATGCCCCAATGGTTTCAAGAGGCAAAGAGCCTGAGTGAGCAACTGAGAACGGTCTACACCAGCGCCAGTTTTCGCTACATGTCTTTGCTCGAAATCTCTCCCAGTCTAGCCACCAACCACTTGCTGGACTGTGATCTCTCCATTACTTCCAAGCACATCAGCAAACCTGTGCAAGAGCCTGTGGTGTTACCTGAGATCTTTGGCAACTTGAACTCTGTCATGTGTGTGGAGGGTGAAGCTGGTAGTGGGAAGACCATGCTCCTGAAGAAAATAGCATTTCTGTGGGCATCAGGATGCTGTCCCGTGTTAAACAGGTTCCAGCTGGTCTTCTACCTCTCCCTTAGTTCTACCAGACTGGACCAGGGGCTGGCCAACATCATTTGTGACCAGCTCCTAGAGACACCAGGATCTATCACTGAAATGTCTCTGAGGACCACCCTCCAGAAGTTAAAGAATCAGGTGTTATTTCTCTTGGATGACTACAGAGAAATGTGCTCAGTCCCCCAAGTCATAGAAAAACTGATTCAAAAAAACCACTCATCACGTACCTGCTTATTGATTGCTGTCCGTACCAATAGGGCCAGGGATATCCGCCAGTATTTAGATACAATTCTAGAGATCCAAGCATTTCCCTTCTATAATATGATCTATATACTACGGAAGCTCTTTTCACATAATATGACCCGTCTGCGAAAGCTTATGGTTTACTTTGGAAAGAACGAAAATTTGCAGGGAATCCACAAAACTCCTCTCTTTGTAGCAGCAGTCTGTGCTAACTGGTTTCTGAATCCTTTTGACCAGTCCTTTGATGATGTGACTACTTTCAAGTCCTATATGGAGTGCCTTTTCTTAAAGCACAAAACTACAGCCGAACTTCTCAAAGCAACCATCTCCTCCTGTGGTGAGCTGGCCTTGAAAGGGGTTTTTTCATCCTGCCTTGAGTTTCATGATGACGACCTCACAGAAGCCGGGGTTGATGAAGATGATGATCTAACCACATGCTTGATGAGCAAATTCACAGCCCAGAGACTGAGACCAGTCTATCAGTTTCTAAATCCTGTATTCCAGGAGTTTCTTGCGGGGGTGAGGCTGCTTGAACTCCTGGATTCAGAGAAGCAAGAAGATCAAGATTTGGGACTTTTTTATTTGAAACAAATTAACTCACCCATGATGGCTATAAGTTCCTATAGCAATTTTTTGAACTATGTCTCCAGCCACCCTTCAGCAAAGGCAGGGCCAAAAATCATATCTCATTTGCTTAATTTGGTGAAAAATAAAGAGTCATTGGAGAATGTATCTGAAAATGATGACTACTTGAAACACCATCCAGAAATTTTACTGAGGATGCAGTTAATCAGAGGATTATGGCAGTTAGCCCCAGAAGCTTACTTTTCATTGGTTTCAGAACATTTACTGGCTCTTGCCCTTAAAATTGCTTATCAAAGCAATACTGTTACAGCATGTTCTCCGTTCATTTCACAATTTCTTCAAGGAAAAACGCTGAGTTTGGATGTACTTAAGTCACAGTACTTTTTTGATCACCCAGAAAGCCTGTTATTGTTGAGGAGCATCCAGGTGTCAATAAAAGGAAATAAAAGGCCACCCAGAGCAGATTTATCGGTCCTGAAAACATGTTTGGACACATCACAAGCACCAACCATAGATCAGGAATATGCTTCTGCCTTTGAATCTGTGAATGAATGGGAGCAAAATATAACTGAAAAAGAGGAGAACATAAAGAGTTTTCTGGATATTCAGCGCATGGCACCCCTGGACATCAGTTCTGGCTATTGGAAACTTTCTCCAAAGCAGTACAAGATTCCCCTTCTGGAAGTCCACGTGAGTGACACGGATGCTGTAGAGCAGGAGATGCTCCCAGCTCTGATGGCCATATGCTCAGCTTCACAGCACATTGAACTCCACCTCAGCTCCAGCAGAGGAGTTATTGAAAGCATCCGCCCAGTTCTTGAGCTGTATAAAGCCTCTGTCATCAAGTGCCGCATAGACAGGTTTGATCTCAGTGCAGCAGAACAACGATTGCTTCTCACCTTGCCTTCCCTGGAATCTTTTGAAGTCTTGGGGACATCCCAAGGTATCCAAGGTATATGTAAATATTTTTAAATGATTATTCTAACATATAATTTTATTTTATCATTCTCAGTTTTAGGTACATTAAAACTTCTCAAGGCACATGCCAGGCATGTGTGTGGGCACATGCCCCAAAATCTTGTTAGGATGGAGGAATGAAGGGGAATAGATTGCAGCATGACCACACCTTGCTGTGGCGAGGGGGGTGCTTGCTTCCTCTTCCTCTCTGATTCTTGGGCAAGGGCATGCACCTTCTAGCAAGTTAAAAATAAAAGCAAAAGGGATGAGCAGTTAGCATAATGGCTATGTTGCTGGACTCCCATGTAGTCGACTGCAGTTTGCGTCCCGGACCCAGTGGCTTATACTCATGCTGGGCGCGTGTGCATGTGTGCCCAAGATCGCGAGAGGAGAATGGAGAAGAAGGGATTGCGGCATGGCCATCCCCCCTGGGGGGTGATTTCTCGCTTTCTGTCTCTATGATCACCCAGAAAGCCTGTTATTGTTGAGGAGCATCCAGGTGTCAATAAAAGGAAATAAAAGGCCACCCAGAGCAGATTTATCGGTCCTGAAAACATGTTTGGACACATCACAAGCACCAACCATAGATCAGGAATATGCTTCTGCCTTTGAATCTGTGAATGAATGGGAGCAAAATATAACTGAAAAAGAGGAGAACATAAAGAGTTTTCTGGATATTCAGCGCATGGCACCCCTGGACATCAGTTCTGGCTATTGGAAACTTTCTCCAAAGCAGTACAAGATTCCCCTTCTGGAAGTCCACGTGAGTGACACGGATGCTGTAGAGCAGGAGATGCTCCCAGCTCTGATGGCCATATGCTCAGCTTCACAGCACATTGAACTCCACCTCAGCTCCAGCAGAGGAGTTATTGAAAGCATCCGCCCAGTTCTTGAGCTGTATAAAGCCTCTGTCATCAAGTGCCGCATAGACAGGTTTGATCTCAGTGCAGCAGAACAACGATTGCTTCTCACCTTGCCTTCCCTGGAATCTTTTGAAGTCTTGGGGACATCCCAAGGTATCCAAGGTATATGTAAATATTTTTAAATGATTATTCTAACATATAATTTTATTTTATCATTCTCAGTTTTAGGTACATTAAAACTTCTCAAGGCACATGCCAGGCATGTGTGTGGGCACATGCCCCAAAATCTTGTTAGGATGGAGGAATGAAGGGGAATAGATTGCAGCATGACCACACCTTGCTGTGGCGAGGGGGGTGCTTGCTTCCTCTTCCTCTCTGATTCTTGGGCAAGGGCATGCACCTTCTAGCAAGTTAAAAATAAAAGCAAAAGGGATGAGCAGTTAGCATAATGGCTATGTTGCTGGACTCCCATGTAGTCGACTGCAGTTTGCGTCCCGGACCCAGTGGCTTATACTCATGCTGGGCGCGTGTGCATGTGTGCCCAAGATCGCGAGAGGAGAATGGAGAAGAAGGGATTGCGGCATGGCCATCCCCCCTGGGGGGTGATTTCTCGCTTTCTGTCTCTATCTCTCTCTGTCTCTGTCTGGCGAACGCACGCACCCTATAGCAAAAACAAACAAACAAACAAACAAATTTTAAAAGCTCTCCAAAAATAAAAGCAAAACAAAAAGTAATAAACAAACAAAAAAAACTTTTGAAGAAATGAGACTTGCTGATTGGATAGTATAAAACCTTCAATAAGTTTTTTGTTTTTTCTCTTTGTTTTTGTTTTTTTTTTTTGTCAGTAGTGTAAATTAGTAAAAGGCTCCTGAATATTAGAATGGTTTTCAGATAACCCAGATAAAATTAATAAAAGCTGAGGACAGCAGATGGCATAGTGGTTGCATCACTGGACTCCCACATGGCCGATTGCAGTTCAATTCCTGGACCTGGTGGCTTGAAACTCATACCAGGCGCATATGCATGTGTGCCCAAGGTCTCAGGAGGAGAAGGGATTATGGTGTGGTCATCCCCCTAAGTCCGATATCTTACTTTGCTTCTCACTGTCTTTGTCTCTCTCTCTCTCTAGTGAGAACATGTATCATATCCTAAGACAAAAACCTCTTAAAGAGAAAAATTAATGAAAGCTTGTAGGCATGAACTACTTATGTTTTCTAAGCTACCAGGTCTGGGACTTGAACTGTACAGTCAGCCATGTGGGATCCAGCTGCCTTAATCACCACACCAGTGGCTGGCCCTATTTCTGTGTTAACTTCTCTAAGCAATAGTTGATCATTTTCAGTATGAATTTTACTCATCTTTCATTAAATTTATTCCTAGGGATTTATGGTTTTTGATATTATTGTAAATGGTATTTAAAACTGTTGCTAGAGGGACCAGCAGATGGTGTAACAGTTATGTCTCTGGACTCCCATGTAGTTGACCATGGTTCAAGACCTGTACCCAGCGGCTTAAAACTCAGGCCAGGTGCACATGTGTGTGTGTGCCCAAAATCCTGAGAGAAGAATGGAGGAGAAGGAACTGTGGCATGGCCATTCCCCCTGGGGGATGCTTTCTAACTTTATGTCTTTCTGGCGAGCACACACGCCCTATAGCAAAAATCTCTCTATTAAAAAAAAATTGTTGCTAGTATACCTTTTGGTTTTCAGCAGTTTGTTATGTACCTAAGGGTTGGCTTTGTTTTGTATATCTTCCTTGAGAGTCACTGAGCTGTTTTTTTTTTTTTCTTTTTAAACTATGGGTTAATTTTTATTATCAAATTTAGAAATTTTTTTTCAAGTACTTTTATCATGGTAAAATATACATAGCAAAAGTAACCATTTTAATCATTTCTAAGTGTACAGTTCAGTGACACTGCATATATTCAGATGGTTGTACAACCACGTCCACTATCAAGTTCCAAAATCTTTTCATCATCCCAAACAGAAACTCTGTACCAATTTAACAATAACTCCTCCTTCCCACCAGCCCCTGGTAACCTCTATTTTATCAATACTTTCCTTTTCTAAAAATTTTTTTGAAATTTATTTATGTCAGAGTTTGTGTATGTGCATATAAGAGTGAGAGAAAGAAAAAGTAAGAGAGATGAACACCCTCTATAGTGTCTGGTCATGCTGTGATCCACTTTACTGATCCACTTCCCTTAGTTCTTCAGTCATCAGTTCTTGGGTATTCATGTGTGCCTGGTGTGTTTCAGGCTGACCAGGTTGGGGATTCAAGCTGTGATCACCATATGGGGTCCAGCTTCTCTCAACCCTATTCTACTTTCTGTCTTTATAAAGTTGTCTATTCTAGATTTTTTTTTAATAAGTGGGATCATATGTTTGTTTTTTTCTGCCTAATTTATTTCACTTTGCATAATGTTTTCAAACTTGATCATGTTGTAGCAGGTATCAGAACTTTATTCTTTTTTTTTTTTCCCTATAGGGAATATGCACTTGCCAGAGAGTGTCAGAGAGAGAGAGAGAGAGAGGGAGGAGAGGAGAGAAAATGATAAATCACCCACTGGAGGGATGGCCACACAGGAATCACTTCTCATTCTCCTCTTAGGATTTTGGGTACACATGCACACAAACCTGGTGGGGTTTTCAAGCCACTGGGTCTAAGACTTGAGCTGCACAGCTGGCTACGTAGGATCCAGCCACCTTAATCACCATGCCATTGGTTGGCCCTATTGCTTTTTTTTTTTTTTTTAGAGGTTTTGTCATAGGGTGCACGTGCTCCCCAGAGAGAGAGACAGAATCAGTGAGAGGGAAAGTGAGAAACCATCCCCAGGGAGAATGGCCACATTACAATCCCTTCTCCTCCATTCTCCTGGGATTTTGGACATGCACACACATGTACCAGGTGTGATTTTCAAGTCGCTGGGTCCAGGACTTGAACCATGGTCGACCATGTGGGAGTCTAGCAAGATAACAACTGTGCCACTTGCTAGTGCATAGCCCTATTGCTTTTAATAGCTGAATAATATTTCTCTTTATGTATAGATCATATTTTATATACCCATTCATCTGTTAATGGACACTTGGGTTATTTCCACCTTTCTAGCTTATGTGAATAATGCTATGATGAACATTAACATTACAAGTACCATCTGATTGAGTCCCTGTTTTTGAATGTTTTGGTGCATACCTTTAAGTAGAATTGCTGGTTTATATGGTAATTTATGTTTAATTTTTTGAGGAATTTCCAAACTGTGTCCATTGTGGCTGTACCATTTACATTTTCACCAGCAATGTATGAGGGTTTCGATTTCTTATCAACATTTGTTATTTTCTGTTTTGTCCTGTTTTATTTTGATTTTCATAAAGCCATTCTAGTAAAGGTGAGGTGGTATCTCATTGAGATTTTTTTTTTTTTTGAGAGGTTTTTGCTCTAGGGCACGTGTGCTCGCCAGAAAGACAGAGAGAGACTGAGAGACAGAAAGCGAGAAATCACCCCCCAGAAGGGATGGCCACACTGCAATCCCTTCTCCTTCATTCTCCTCTTGGGATCTTGGGCATGCACGCACATGCGCCTGGCGTGAGTTTAAGCCACTGGGTCCAGGACTCGAACTGTGGTTGACCACATGGGAGTTCAGCGACATAGCCATTACGGTAACTGCTGGTCCCTCATTGAGGTTTTGATTTACATTTCTGTGATAACTTAATGATGTTGAGCATCATTTTATGTGCTCATAATGACTGTATATCTTCTTTGGAAAAATATCTATTCAAGTCTTTTTGTCCATTTTTTAACTGAGTTTTTTTTTGTTGTTGTTGAGTTGTAAGAGTTTTTGTATATTCTGGATATTAAATCTATAAGAGACATTTTCGAATAAATTTTCTCACATTCCATAGATTACCGTTTTACTTTTTTTATATGTCTTTTTCTTTTTAAGAGAGATTTTTGCTATAGAGCATGTGTGCTCACTGGAGAGGCAGAGAGAGACAAGAGACAAAAAGTGAGAAATCACCCTCCAGGGGGATGTCCTCATCGTAGTCCCGTCTCCTCCATTCTCCTTTTGGGATTTTGGGCACATAACACACACACACCCAGGATGATTTTCAAGCCTCCAGATCTGGGACTTAAACCATGGTTGACCATGTGGGAGTTCAGTGACATAATAATCATTATGCCATCTGCTAGTGCCTATATATCTTTTTTTCTTTTTTTAGCGAGATTTTTGCCATAGGGTGTGTGTGCTTGTCAGAGAGACAGAAAGTGAGAAATCACCCCCAAGGTGGGTGGCCATGCTGCAGTCCCTTCTCCTCCATTCTCCTCTTGGGATTCTGGGCATGCACGCACACGTGCCCAGTGTGAGTTTTAAGCTGCTGGTTCTAGGATTCCGGGTCCACTACGTGGGAGTCCAGCTATGTAACCATTCCACCATCTGCTGGTCCCTCCCCATATGTCTTTTAATTCATAAAAGTTGTAAATTTTGATGCAGTCCAATTTAAAATATTTTTTTCTTTTGTTACTAGTGCTTTTGCTGTCATGTCTAAGAAATCGTCAAATCCGAGGTCATAAACGTCTATTTTTATGTTTTTATCTAAAAGTTGTATGCTTTTAGCTAGTATATTCAGATAGTTGATCTAATTTGAGTTAATTTTTAATATGGTAGGAAATAAGAACTCAACCTCATTATTTTTTTAGAATTATTTATTTAATTTTATTATTTCAACTTGACCAGACTGAGAGAGAGGGAAAGTAAGAGAGCAAGTCTCCAGGTCTAGGACTCTAACTGCAGTTGGCCATGTGGGAATCCAGAGCCCCAGCCACCATGCCATCTGCTAGCCCCAGTTTCATTATTTTGCAATTGCAAAGCCGGTTGTCCCCACACCATTTGTTGAAGGCATCTCACTTATTTTTGTGAGTCCAGAGAGTAGGACAGGGTCTCTCATATGGTACATAGTCAGTAATTGCTGCAAATAGCAATGTCTTCATATACAGAGTCTTCAAAAAGTTCATGAAAACTATGAACTTTAAACTATTATTTAAAAACTATGCATATATATCAAGATTTTACTTGGGACCAGCAGTTAGCATAATGGCTATGTCGCTGAACTCCCACGTAGTCGACCACGGTTCGAATCCAAGATTTGGTGGCTTAAACTCATGCCGGGTGCGTGTGCATGCGTGCCCAAGATCTCAAGAGGAAAATGGAGAAGAAGGGAGTGCGCCATGGCCATCCCCCCTTGGGGGGGGCGGTGATTTCTCACTTTCTGTCTCTCTGTCTCTCTCTTTCTGGCAAGCACACGTGCCCTATAGCAAAAGCCTCTCAAGAAAAAAAAAAAAAAAGAAAAGATTTTACTTTGCACTGCAATAAACTTGTACTTAAATTCCACTTTCTATGAACTTTTTAAAGCCCTTTCATATGTACTTTTAAAAAAATGTTTTGGGGAGGGATCAGCACTTGGCGTAATGGCTATCACTGGTCTCCCATGTTGTTGACCGTGATTCAATTCCTGGATCCAGTGGCTTAAACTCATGCTGGGCATGTGTGCATGCACAAGATTCCAAGAAGAGAATAGAGAATGGAGGAGAAGGGATTGCAGCATGGCCATCCCCCTGGGGGGTGATTTCTTACTTTCTGTCTCTCTCTCTCTCTGTCTTTCTGGTGAGCTCACGTACCCTATAGCAAAAACCTCTAAAAAAAATGTTTCAGTTGACCAGCAGGTGGCATGGTGGTTAAGGCACTGAAGACTCTCACGTGGCTGAACGTGGTTTGAGTCCTGGACTTAGTAGCTTGCTTTCTCACTTTCTCTCTCTCTCTGGTCAAATTAAACTAAGTGGATGAATAAATAAATAAATAATAATTCTAAAAAAAATATTTCATGGTATTTAAAGGTTTTTCATTGGAAAATGTTAAAATAGCTGGATGAATCAAAATGATAGTTCCAAAAGTTCCATTTATAACTATTTAGATTAAAAATGGGAAACTGTATGCTTCTTTCCAGAAATAATTCCTAATTTGGACAAGTTCTTGTGCTTGAAAGAACTGTCTTTGAATCTGGATGACAGTATAAATGTTTTTCCAGTCATTCCTGAAGAATTCTCAAACCTCCACCATATGGATAAATTATCAATTCAAATTTCAGCTGGTTGTGATCCTTCTAAACTTGGTAAGGATGATGAACATTGTTTTCTTGTTTTGTATTAGTTAAAAAAAAAAAACTTGGTCAATAATTTATTTAAGAGTTAAAACTTTTGTGGAACTGAAGGTGCAGACTATACTTATAGTAAATTATGACAATAGTATTCTTTCTCATTAAGAAGAAATCAAGAGACCGGGGCTAGCAGGGGGTTAAGGTGCTGGTCTCCCACATGCCTGACTACAGTTCAAGTCTTGGGCCTAGAGGCTTGTTCTCTCACTTTCTCTCTCCTTCTCTTGTCAAATTAAATAATAATAATAATAATGAATAAAATTAAATAAATATTTTTTTAAAAAAATCAAGAGGCCTGTCTGTGATTATTGAGCCTCTGCTATATGCTAGGAATTGTTCTAAGCCTTTTACAAAGATCAACTCATTTAATCTTTGTATCTGTCTTATGAAATAAGGGATTATTATTTTTGGCATTTTACAGCTGGGAAAATAGAGACATAAAGAGGGTAAGTGATTCAAACACAAGAATTTTGTGAGCTCTTAACTCTGAGAAGCTGCCTCTCCAAAATAGTTTGTTTTATGTAAGTTTTTATTTTGTTTTTGTTTAAGATGTTCTTACATTGCAACTTACAGATTTGCCTGCTCAGGAGGAAAGAATCCTGTTGACTGGTAGCAATTGGAAACATTTCCATTTCTCAACAGCCTGTCCTCATGTGGACAACCTGTGCAGACATCTCTCTTAAATACATCATTTAGCAAAATGACTTGGGCATCACCATTTCTTGATTTTTCAAGAGATATTTTTGTTTTTATTTTCTTTTTTAGAGAAATTTTTGGTATAGGGTGCTTGTGCTCTCTGGAGAAACAGAAAGCAAGAAACACACACACACCCTCAGGGGGATGGGCCACATTGCAATCCTGTCTCTTCCATTATCCTCTCATGATTTTAGGCATGCACGCACCTGCACCCAGTGTGAGTTTCAAGTTGCTGGGTCTGGGACTCAAACTGTGGTCAGCCATACGGGAGTCTAGTGATACAGCCATTACACCATCTGCTGGCCCCATCACCACTATTTCTGAATTGAGTATATACTGAATACTAAAGACTGAAGAAATGTAAAACTTGATGCAATTGACATGCAGAGTTGCATGAAACAATTCCTTGAAACTGAAGCTGTAAGTAGTAGTTTTCTTGCTTTTGTCAGCAATTTTCGCATCATGTTTAGGTTTTGCTTCAAAGCTGTCATGTCTCTTATTTATTTTTTTTTATAGAATTCTTGTTGTGTAAATGTCATGTAAAAGCTTAGTGACATTAGGATGCTAAAGCTGAAGTGACTTTACTGGGCCAATGCCCTTATTTTGTAGATGAGAAAACTGATCTCCAGAGAGCTCAGTAACTTGTCCAAGTTCATGTCACTCACTAGTCATTTGCAGATCCTGAACTGAACCCAAAGTAGCCTGATTCTTAGGTCATTACATTGTGATGTTTGCTTTAGTTGAGTTGTTGAAACAAAATAATAAATTACATAGATGATTTTAATAAAATTTGTTGTCACCTCTAATTTCTGAAAATCCTTGCTATTTTACAGTGAAATTGATTCAGAATTCTCCAAACCTTCGTGTTTTCCATCTGAAATGTTACTTCTTTTCGGAGTTTGAGTTTCTCACAACAGCACTTGCTTCCTGCAAAAAACTGCAAGAAATAAAGTTTTCTGGGCCATTTTTTAAACCTTCTCCATTTGGTAAGAGCTTTAATTTTTAAATGTTGATATAAGATACTTCTGTGGACAGAGTCATATTAAGCACTCTTTAAAAAGAGCCATATTTGGGACCAGCACTTAGTGTAATGGCTATGTCACTGGACTCCCAAGTAGTCGATTGCCGTTCAAGTCCTAGACCCGGTGGCTTAAACTCACGCCAGGCGCATGTGCATACATGCCCAAGATCCCGAGAGAAGGGATTGCGGCGTGGCCATCCCCTCTTGGGGGTAGGGCACGTGTGCTCACCAGAAAGACAGAGACAAACAGCCACAAAGTGAGAAACCACCCCTCAGGGGGGATGGCCACGCTATCCCTTCTCCATTCTCCTCTCCGGATCTTGAGCATGCACACACACACGCCCCGTGTGAGTTTAAGCCACCAGGTCCAGGACTCGAACTGTGGTTGACTACATGGGAGTCCAGTGACATAGCCATTATGCCAACTGCTGGTCCCCAAAAAAGAGCCATATTTTGGGCCAGAAGATGATGTGGCAGTTAAGACATTGGATCCCACACATGGCCAACTGGTTGGTTCCAGTCTCAGACCCAGCAGTTTGAAAAACATGCCAGGCCAGTGTACATGCATGCCCTAAATCCTGAGAGAACAATGAAGGAGAAGGGGTTGTGGGATAGCCATCCCCTCTGGGGGTGATCTCTCACTTTCCTTCTCTCTCTGTCTGTCTCTTATCCTCTGGGGAGCACATGAGCCCTATGGCAAAACTCTTTAAAAAAAAAAAAAATCTTTTAAAACTGCAATTGAAAATAAAGAATAAAACTACTGTAACAAAACTACTAAACTTTAAAATTCTGTAAACTTCATAGAATTTTAAACTTCCTAGTTCACAGAATTATTTTCTGAGCAAAATTTGTTTTACTTAGTCGTACTAATTCAATCTGAATTAATATATTAATTTCTATTAATTTTAAAACACTCTTTAGGGGGACCAGCAGATGGCATAATGACTACATCACTGGACTCCCATGTAGTCGACTGCGGTTTGAGTCCCAGACCTGGTGGCTTAAACTCATGCCAAGCACATGTGTGTGCATGCCCAAGATCCCAAAAGGAGAAGGGATTGTGGTGTGGCCATCCACCTGGGGGGTGATTTCTCGCTTTCTGTCTGTCTCTCTCTGTCTTTCTGCCGAGCTCACACACCCTATAGCAAAAACCTCTCCAAAAGCAAAACAAAACAAAACAAAAAACTCTTTAAAGATGTTACTCTTTGTTAGAGGAGCTGTTGCTGACATAACTAAATTTCTACTTTCCCTTTCACAGTCACCATTTTGCCAAGTTTTGTTTCTCTGAAGATATTAAATCTCAATCAACAACAATTTCCTGATAAGGAAACAGCTGAAAATTTTGGTATGTTTAAAAGACAGTGATTTTTACTTATTCTTTGTTCTCCTAGTAGAGAAGAAAAAGAAGATATATATTAGTTGCCCTGGCTCATTAGAAGGAATGGACAGTGATGCCCATGTTTTGTTTTTTAATTTAAAATGTATTTCTTAGCGGACCAGCAGTTGGTGTAATGGCTATGTCACTGGACTCCCATGTAGTCGACTGCGGTTTGAGTCCCAGACCTAGCGGCTTAAACTCATGCCAGGTGTATGTGCATGCATGTCCAAGATCCTGAGAGGAGAATGAGAAGGGATTGCGGTGAGGCCATCCCTCCTGAGGGGTGATTTCTCGCTGTCTGTCTCTGTTTCTCTCTGTTTTTTGGGCGAGCACACGTACTCTATAGCAAAACCCTCTCATAAATAAATAAATAAATAAATAAAATGTATTTCTTGGGACCAGCAGGTGGTGTAGTGGTTAAGGGGCTGTATTCTTACATGCATGACCACGGTTTGAGTCTAGGACCCAGAGGCTTGACAGTTATACCCTGTGTGTGTATGTGTTTGCCCAAAATCCTGAGAGAAGAATGGAGGAGAAGAAATTGTGGCATGGCCACCCCCTGGGGGGTGACTTCTCACTTTCCCTTCCTCTGCCTTTCTTTCCCTGGTGAGTGTGTATGCCCTATAGCATGGTGAGGGCTGTGGTGGCAGAGGCAGATTGGGGGCTGAGAAGGTGGCTGGCATAGATCACAGGCTGATTAAGTAAGTAGCACCTTAAGTTAATGAGAGCCACATCTCCTCACTATTGGAGAAGGAAGTTACAAATCTTGAAATTGGGAGACTAGAACACTTTGAGGTGTTGGGTTAGAATTGGAAATATTTGTGAGGCCTCATATGGTCTTTAAACCTATAAACAAAGAGCGATAGAGCTATACACATCTGTAGATGTCCATAGAGCTATCTACACACATAACGGGTTTCTCAGCTCAGACCACTGAGACTAGGAAGCACTCTAGCAGCCATGAACACATCAAGTGCCCAGATCTTGATTTCCAATTACCACCCTCCCTTAAAGGAACCAGGGTCCTTGACAAAATGACTGAATCAAGAACTGACACAGGGAAAGTAAAAGATAAACCTAGAACATTGTTTTATGCAGCCAAGTGTTTAAAATATTTCAGTTTATGAGGACTCAAAGGTAATGAACTTTCTAGTGAGCAAGTAGCCCATAATGCGACGTGCCAACGAGGTGTCAAGGTGGAAAGGAAGGTTGTGAGAATGTGGACTCTGCTGGGGGCAGATGTGGAAATCAGTGAGAGTGACAGTGGGAGGCTGGGATGGGAAGGAAGTGGACTGAAGCACTGAAGAACCAGGAGCATAACCTGCAACCAGTAGAAGCTTTATTCTAAAACAGGAAATGAAGATGAAACAGGCAGCTCTGACTTCAGGACAGGAGACACTGGCGTGAGAGGGTGGGAGCATCTGGACGGAGCAACAAGAATCAGAGTGTATGCTGACTGCTTTCTTTTGCCGTGGGCCTCTGTGCTACTGGGGCCTCTTGAACTATGTGTGATTTTTAGGCTCTAGATTATCAGAGAACAAAGAGCACAGGACACTGGAGAATAGCTCTTTCTGTCTCTTCTGATAGCCTACACATTAGGTTTTCTTCATAACCTGGAAGAACTGATCCTTCCTACTGGCGATGGGATTTGTCAAGTAGCCAAACTGATCATCCAGCAGTGTCAGAAGCTTCAGTGGCTCCGAGTTCTCTCTTTTTCCCAGACATTGAATGATGACAGCGTGATGGAAATTGGTGAGCTACCCCCAGAAAAAAGGGTTTGAGTTTGTGTGGAAGCCAGTGGTATTACTCAATTTTCTGTTGTAAAATGTTTATAAGAACATTGGTCCTTCTAAAATTTTTCGACTTATTTCCTCATTTTTGTTGTCATATTCTTCCCCCTAGTGTCCGTCTTTTTAAAAAAATTACTTATTTAATTTTATTTATTCATTCATTTACTTTAATTTGACCAGAGAAAGACAGACACACAGAGAGAAAGTGAGAAAGCAAGCCAGCAGGTCCAGGACTTGAACTATGCTCAGCCATGTGGGAGTGTCCAGCACCTTAACCACCATGTCACCTGCTGGCCCACCCCCTAATGTCCTACTATGGATTTAGGTTGATTCTGGTCAGATCTGGAAGTGCAAGGAGTACCTCAGTGCCATGAAGGCTATGTAAGCCCTCAAGTTTGTGCATTTGGCACCTGGTGTTTTCGACATCAAAAGTACTCCTTTTTAGAGAACTTTTTTCTAAAATTGAAAATTCATATATATAAAAAAATACAGAAATCATGTGTACAACTGGAACCTGCAGTTGGCGTAATGGTTATGCTGGTGGACTCCCATGTATTCGACCACGGTTTGAGTCCCAGACCTGGTGGCTTAAACTCATGCCAGGTGCGTGTGCGTTTGTGACCAAGATCCCAAGAGGAGAATAAAGAAGGGATTGCGGCGTGGCCATTTCTCCTGGGGGGTGATTTCTCGCTTTCTATCTCTCTGTCTCTCTCTGTCTGTCTGGCGAGCGCACATGCCCTAAAGCAAAAACCTCTCAAAAAAAAAAAAAATAGAAAGAAAGAAAAAGAAAAGAAAAAATCATGTGCACAGCTTAACAAAGGTTCATATGATCATAATTGAAGGGTTTTCTTTTGTTTCTTCTTACAGGGTCTTACTGTGTCACAATCCTGCCTTAGCCTTTTTGAGTTGCTGGGGTTATAGCTCTCATTGGCCCTTAGGTTGGTCTAGGAATTGAACCCAGGCCTCCCATGTGGTCCCAGCTTGTGGAGCACAGTGTCTTGGCAGTGTGTGCCGCTGTGACTGGGCCACATTCTTGAAAATGTTGTTACTCATACTTTGATAACAATCAAGCCAGATTAAAATATAGACTATTGGGGACCAGCAATTGGCGTAATAGCTATGTCACTGGACTCCCACGTAGTCGACTGTGGTTTAAGTCCCGGACCTGGTGGCTTGAACTCATTCCGGGGGACTGTGTGTGCATGCCCAAGATCCTGAGAGAAGAATGGAGGAGAAGCCATTGCAGTGTGGCCATCCCCACTAGGGGGTGATTTCTCGCTTTCTGCCTCTCTGTCTCTTTCTGGCAAGTGCACGTGCCCTATAGCAAAATCCTCTCAAAAATAAACAAACAAACAAACAAATAAATAATTGGCCAAGTTTTTTAAAAACTAATATACACATCACTGCTGTGCCACTGAGCCAGCTTATATCTATTTTAAAATTTGTTCTTTTTTGTTTCTCAAGATATATATTACCTCTTATTCTCCTTTCTTGCTCCATTTATTAGCTCATTTCCCCCATCTGTTAGCTTATTAGTATACACTTTTTTTAAAGAATTGTTTTATTTAACTTTATTTATGTATTTATTTATTTATTTTAATTTAACCAGAGAGGGACAGAGCGAGAGTGAAAGCAAGAAAGCAAGCCACCAGGTCCAGGACTTGAACCATAGTCAGCCATGTGGGAGTCCAGCTGAAGTTACCAACTTACTCAGGACACACCTGAAGACACTCTCTCAGTATAGAGGCGCTAGATTTTCAGTACAGCGCCTCAAAACTCAATCCAGGAGTGAAACCAAACCTAACCTTTGCCCAAATTAGGAAAGAGGTCTAACAATTATAATAATAATAATAAAAAAACTCTGCTAAGTTCCCAAATCAAATTCAACCTATCCACTAATTGAGAGCTTACTCTGTGCCAGGCCCTCATCTCCTTCAGAGCCCTTAGTCTCAACGGGGACCCCTTCTGGACACCAGGTAGAGGCACAGTAGCAGACAGAGAGAGGACATGGTTTTAGAATGGCACGTCCCCTTCTCTGTAAAAGAGAGGCGGCCACAATCTGTGAAGTCCCTTGTAGCTTGGCCTGTCTATTAGGGATGCTGGTTTCACACATGTCCTTCTAGGAGACTGAAGGAGAAGCCCAGATGTGTCCAGAATGGCACAAGTTTTACAGAAAAAGTAGCTTAGTATTCAGTTTTGTTTCTATGGTTTCTGCTTTTCCTTGGATTTTGGCCAGGGGGCTCTTCATTAATCCATCTGCTCCTTGAGGCTTTTAAGGAGACATTTCAAAAAATATTCTACTGGGCATTTCCTAGTTTTATTGGTGGTGGTGATGGTGGGAGAAGAGATTGGTTTAAGTCACCTTGCCTACCATTGTTGAAATAGAAGTCCTTATGATTCTGGGACCACAGATGGTGTAAGGTTATGTCACTGAACTCCCACGTAGTCGACTGTGGGGAGTCCTGGACCTGACAGCTTAAAACACGCTGGGTGCGTGCATGCATGCCCAAGATTCTGAGAGGAGAAGGGATTGCTGGTGGCCATACACCCTGGGTAGTGGTTTCTTGCTTTCTGTCTCTCTGTCTCTTTAGTGAGTACATTCACCCTATCACAAAAATTTCTCTCTTTTTTTTTTTTATTAATTCGCTTTATACCATCACAACATACAAATGAATTTTCCATCCAAAATACACTGTGCATTGGCTCAATCAAGCACATCCACATACATGTTCTCAGCAAATAATTTTCCAATTCTTAACGTCCTGCATACCTTGCCCTTTGTCTTGCCACCCCTGATTCCCCATCCCCCACCCTCTGCTATGTCCCATCTTCCTCCCCCATTGTCCCTGGCATCCATGGTTGCCCTCCATACCTTCCTCCCCCCCCAATTCAATTGTTCTGCCAATGAACTTAATTAGTCTAAATAAATCCATTAGCTAGCACAGCTGACACAAACCTACACATGTATCCAAGTCTGACCCTAGGCATAAACCCCAGTGAGTAGAATAAACATACTATAAAGTAGTACCCAGATGTGCCCACACAGCTCGCTGCAGTCATCAATGTGCTTTTTTTTTTTCCTCCTGCAACTTTCTTTTTCTTTTTTTTTTTATATTATATTACCTAACACTCATTCCCTGAGCATCATCACAACATACTAAATGTAGTTCCCCATCTAGGATAAACTGCATAGTGACTCAATCAAGCATGTTATCACCAACAATATTCCATTTCTACTTTCATACAATGTTTACATATATATATATATGTTTTTTATCCTATCTTTGACCCTCTGCCCTTTCCCCCTCTCCCATTACCCTATCTCTGCTATATACAGTTGTCTTCCAAGGGAGTTATTGAAAATGTAATACATGCAAGTAAAGGGAGAAGGGCCACAAGTTTAAAGTTTTCAACAATAGGGAACATAGATTCCATTCAAGGTTGGATCAAGGGTGGGTCTCGTGCGGATCCGCCATTGTAGGTGAGTCTCCATGGAATACAGTTCTAGGAAAGCGGTTCTGATAAGCAGAGATGATTA